TGTTTTGCAGCCAGGCTGCCCCCGCCTGGTCCCCACCATACACACGGCGCCCAAGTGCCAACAGCCACACTGAACAGACCCCAGGCAACGGCTTGGCTATGGCTATGTAGATGTGGCATGAAACGTTCGAAGGTGGAAGATTGGGGCAAGCGCTTGCTGCCCCCAGCGTCAACATCGGCGTTGTTGCTATTAATGTTGCTGCTGTTGTTGTTGTTGTCGCGTCTAGTGCTGCTTAAATATGAAAAACTAACTCGTAGCTGCTTTTCACATTTTCCTGCACTTGACACTAAATTCACTTTGGCCAAGTAGGTGCTCCGTGCACTTCAAGCGCACTTTCGCTGCCAACAACAACGACAGCAACAATGGCAGCAACAACAACAACACAGTTGTTGCACTATCCAACACTAGCAGCACTCGCACTTAATGTACAATATACACACGCATATGTGCTGGTGGTGGCGTACACGTGTGTATGTGTGTCCCAGTCACAGCTGGCACTGAGCTCGTCCTCCGGTTAGCTGCTTCTACTCCTTGCGCCACTCCAGCCAGGTGCTCCGCTCACTGCTACTGCCTCTGCCACTGCCTCTGGCGGCAGCAATGTACATACTCGTATATTTATTTTATTACTTAAATAAATTACAAAACGGTTGTCGGTTAACCAAAGCCAAATGGCCATCTCGTTGCGTTTGCCAACTTCCAGCTAGAGGATCTTAGCGTATAATATACATATTGTGCGACCTCAACAGCCCTAACTCGAGTGTGTCTATGTGTGTGTGTGTGTGTGTGTGTGTGTTTTTGTATTATCCACTGCGAGCCACTGTAACAGAACCACAACAAGCGGCAAGTCGGCTGTGGGTTTCCCTATGCAGCGCAGATCGCAAGCACTTGAAAGGATCTCTCGCTCATACCCCAAATCTATATACATATATACCCTTCTGTCTGTTGCATTGTGTCCAACTTCATTTATTGCCAACTTATCGTACTCCAGTTGTAATTAGCGTATGAATCTAGCTGACAGAGGAAGAGGCAGGTGTGTTGTCCAGTAGCATTACATACATAAATACATACATATATTGAAAGGAAATATACAAATGTTCTTTCCCGAACTGAGGGGCTGCTTCAATATTGAAATGAGAATATAACGGAGCGATCCGGCAACTCTCCTGTGTGCAGCCCGACTTTGCGTTTTCTTCTGGGGCAGAGTCTTCTGGCCAGCATGCCACGCCTTCTAGCGATATCCCATAGATGAAGCTGTCTGAGCATCGCCTTTATCTATGGCTCATTACGGAGGCATCTGCTGGTCTGTAGCAGTGTTGCCAAATCAGCTTTTTCCCGTCAAATCTGGCCGATTGCGGGAAAAATTCAAAAACAGCGGGCAGCGGGAATTCTGGATTTTTTAAAGAATAATTTGCCTTATTTACACTTTTTTATTTATTAAGCAAGTTTTCGTATTTTGTAGGGATAATTCGTATGAAGAATGAAGTTTTCTTCACTGTAGTTGAATTAAAACCAAATAGTTCAGTAATTCAATTTTCAATGGACGAACCAAGCGGTAATAATATGGAACTAACTAAACTAAGATATGATTTATATTTAATTCAGAACAACTTATTGCGTGTAGTACAAGAATTTATGTGTTAAAGGTTGCCGATAAATTTTCAAATAGTGAACAATTTTGATTCCTTTTCATGCATATATATTTTTGGCGAACATTGATAGTATTGAACACCCATATAGAAACATTCACCCAATTCAGTAGGAAACTACTCAAGACGCTACAAAGTTTTGGGTTGAGAGGCGTGTTTCTAAGGATTGCGCAAGTGGGTAAAACTTTTCGTCAGATCAATACTGTGAGGCTTAACTCAATTTCAAGCGTCAGGCAAAACATATATATTGTAAAACTTCACAGATACAGCTTGCGGTGGTTGAAGAAATAATGCCATGATTATAAGCTGTTAAGACTATAGTTAAATATCAATCAAATCAAAGCAAAAAGCATCAGATTTTTCCGATTTTTTTCACAAAATTTCGGCCACTAAGAACAGCTTTACAGAACAGAGCAAAAATTGGCAACACTGGTCTGTAGCAAGGCTTTCGTCCAACACTTACCTTCGCTTAGCTAGGGTGAGCCCGTGCCGGGATGAAATGAAAATGCTTTGTTGTGTGGCTTTAAATTCTTACGTTTTTCTATTTACAAATTAATCGATTTTCTGTCTGCTTCTGTTTGTTTTTCACAATTAGCTTAAGTTTTGATTCGTGTTTATATTTGTTGAATGCGTAATATGAATTGTATTTGATTTTTTGTTTTAACATCAAGTATTTGTTGAAATCATCTTTCAAATAGTATATATATGTGTATATATTTGCCTGTGTGTGTGTGTGTGTGTATGTGTTCTGTGGGTACATATTTGTATTTGAAGTTGTGTTTCTATTTATATTTGCATTTCCATGTTGCTTATGCATTTGTATTTGTATTAGATTCTGTTTGTTAGTATTGTTCTTTTCTTAGTTCATTGAAAATCCTCCATTTGATTATACATATATATAGTATATATGATTAGATATAAAGTGGTGAAAATTATTAGAAAGTAGGGCCAAGCCAGCCGTGGATATATATATTTGCTGGTGTCCACATGCTCCGTCGTCCGCAGATCCTTAGCCGTAGTAGCTGTTGGGCGGCTGAGTGGGGTAGTCCTTGGCGCCGTTGCTGCTAGCGCCGCCGGAGCCACTGCGCGAGGATGGGTTTTCGCTGAAGAGGCCACCAAAGTTCTTGGAGTTGAAAATCTCGCTGAGGCCGCTGCCACCACCGCCGCCATGGGTGGCGCCTCCAGTGCCACCGCCGCTGAGGAGGCTGCCGAGGAAGCTGCTGGCACCGCCGCCGCCGCCGGCATTGCCGCTGGCACCGCCGCCAGAGAGCACAGAGCCAAGGAGGCCGCCAAGTAGATTACTGCCACCGGACGAGCCGCCGGATGAGCCGCCACCGCCGCCACTTGAGTAGCCACCGCTGGGCTGGTAGCCGTTGGCCCCGCCTGCGTTAGCGCCACCGTTGGCCCCACCGCCCTGCAGCTGCTTGGCTATTTGGCCTGCAATGATACCGGAAACCGCTTGACTCACCGCCGGATTCGAGAAGAAGCTGGAGAAGAAGCCGCCGCCCTGCTTGTCCTTGGGCTTCTGGGCAGCGCCACCGCCACCATTGTCATAGCCAGGCGCGGGCGGAGTGTAGCCGGGCACCGGCTGATAGCCACCGCCAGGAGCGGGCTGGTAACCGCCCTGCGGGTGGTAGCCACCCTGCGGATTGTAGCCGCCTTGTGGATTGTAGCCGCCTTGTGGATTGTAGCCGCCATACGGATTGTAGCCAGCAGCACCGCCACCATTGTTGTTGTTGTTGGGGAGCGTGGGATAGAGACCATGTCCGCCAGCCGAGAAGCCATTACCATATCCACCTGCGCCGCCGCCACCGTATCCACCAGCTGCGCCACCGGCGCCACCCTGACTGCCATCTGCCTCCGGCAGCGGGGCGCTGGGTCCGTTCGGCGCGTACGAGTTGTGCGTGTTGCCGCCGCTCACTGTGGATCAGACGCAGCGATTGCATTGCCGCAGCATCGCAGCAGCATCGCAGCAACAGCAGCAGCGCAGTAGCGGTAAGCAGTTAGAGTTAGCCACAAAAGCGTTTGACAAAAGGGCAAAACATAATTTATGAAGAAAAACAAGAAGAAGGGAAACATAAAAAGCGATAAGCATTAAACAAGGCCAAAACAAAGAAGACGTCAAAAATGAAGAAAAAATGAATTAAAGCCCAATCTATGCTAGGGAGTGGGGCAAGGAGGATTTCTTAATTTGTTCTAATCAATTCTAGTTTTTATTTAGGTTAACTTATTTTAATTAAAGTTTCATTACAGTTGCCTCTGTTACGTTTTGATTAGCGTTTCTGTATATGCCTACAGTCGATAAAGTTATCGATAAAAAATTATCGTTAATGCAACATTTAAATTCTACACAACTTTGAGTTTGATTTTTTTTTTTTTTTTTTTGTTTGCTTAGTTCTTATAAGTCTTATTTGCCGTATAGATAAGTATATTGGTTAATATATATAATATAATATATATATATATATATATATATATACTCATAAATGCGACTGCTATGTACAACGCCAAATTGAAGCAGATACGGTAGATGCTCTCCCTGCCGCTATCAATTAGTTTTTGAAACGAGAATAGCCGAACACCTTGCGTACCCTGCTTTAACTATAGCTAATTTATGTATTATATATATTATGAAAGTTTATGCATGCATGCACTTCAAAAAGTTGTAATAATATTTCATTATATTTTTGCCAGGAATAAATTTAAGATTATATACATATATATATATATATATATATCTGTAATTGTATGTATGTATGTATTTCATCAAATGCTTTAGTTAATTCATTAATACTGTTCATTGTTTAAATTTTTATTTTATTTTTTCTATTAGTAGAATTCCATTCAAATTAATGCCATTGCTTATTTGCGTCTGTGTGTGCATGTGTGAGTGTTTAAATAAATGGGAAATAATAACAAGAATGCGCAGAATGCGTGTTCGGACGGAGTAATTATATTTATACCTATATAAATTTTTGGTTGGTTTGTGCTATATTTGCAGTAGATTTATACAAATAAATTTAAGTCCCAAAAAAAAAAAAAAAAAACAATAAGGGAAAACACGACTTTAATATGTGTATTAAAATATTGTAAGGGAAAATTTAATTTGCTATACAAATTACAACCAACAAATATACAAAATAATTATATAAAAACAGTTTGGTGAACGTAAATTGTTTTTGAAATTATAATAATAATAATAAAAATAATACAGTAGAATCCCGATAATTCGAAATGGCAAGGGCTTCAGTTTTTTTTTTTTTTTTTTTTTTTTTTTTTTTTATCTACACAGAAAATTAAAATTACCAATTAAAATTATCAATATCTTTCAAATGGGTTATATATATATATATGTTTTCGATTTTTCGCGATTTTTGATTTAGGGGTGTACGATTTATAGAGACTCGACTGTAGTTATAATAAATGATATAAAAAAAAATTAGAGCATTCACATGATAGACAAAATGTTGACGTTTCTTGAAATTAGTTGTTTTCCCATATTTTATCTTAAATTTAAAATTAAATATGTATGTGTGTGTGAAAATATGTGTTGTCGTTTAACATGGATTTCAATCCACAGGAGGGAGATGCTGTCCGATTGAGCTCCCCATTTCTGGCATTGATCGATATACAAATGTGATCGATAGCATTTATCGGACAGCAACTAGAGATTGGTACTTTTGACATTTAATCAGATTCGTAACTGTATTTCTGAAAATATTTGTTGCATTTGGATTTACTGTTTTAGTCCCGGCTCAGCTTTTATGATACTGGCAAATTCTAGAATTATTTTGTATTTGTGTTTTGATTTTTAGTTTTGTCATTACTTTTTTGTATGTAAAAAAAATTGTTAAAATTACATTTAATTGTGTACTTTGTGCACATAATTTTTCTTTAAATGTCTCGATTTCTAATTATTAGCGCATCCACATTTATCTTTTCTTTATTTGTTTCTTTGCAGCCTCAAATCAGTTTGTTTTTATGCATTTTGATTGACACGCGCAACTGCTTCTACAACTGACTGCTGGTTTGTTGAGGGGCCAGGGGGGGGGGCGCAGCAGAAACAGCAACTGCAACTGCAACTGCAACTGCAACAGCAACTGCAACGGCAGCAATATGAACGACGCAATAAATGCCGGAAGTGCTTGCCACAAAATTTGTAGCAGCAACAAAAATTAAATTAACATTCAACATCAAAGTTGCTACCAAAGTTAGCACATGTGCGCGTGTGTGTGTGTGTGTGTGGCAACTAAGTCTGCGGCTGATGTCCGGTACTCGCTCTAAGCCTGAAATTAAATTCCAATTTAATTGAGCTGCAAAAAACATGGAGCAACGAGTGCAACGAGCCTTCAGGGCAACGACTATTACAGCGGCTCGTTAGACCACACAAATGGACCCACACATGCACACACACACACGCACACACACGCATGCACACATAGGCACACACATACACTTAAGAGCATATTCAAACAGAGATAGCTCCCAGAATACATATATTGTCAATGCTTCAACTATGTATGTATATGCAAATAATCGCATGCTGAATTAAATCTAAATTTTTAGCTGCTATTGTTTTCGTTGTTGTTGTGGCTGCTGTTGCACTTGGAGTGAGATCGTGATATCACCGACTCTCTAGTCGCTGCGACTGCTATTAAATCCGGGTCGAGGCGCATTCCTTAATCTAGCATTCCATAAAACCAGGCTATAGAAATTAACGTAACATAATAATGGGAACTGAAGGAAAAGAAATAGCAATAGCTGATTTGATCGTCGACGTGTTGCAGGATCCAGAGCGACTGCTGCTGCATCTTATTACGTGCTGCCACTAGCGCTGCCTCGGTGGGCCAGCAGCAACACGAGGACCGCGAGCAGGCCGATGAGCGGGGCGCTGGAGTTACCGCACCGCAGAGCTGCCGAAGGATGCGCTTGGGTCTGGCGATTGTAGGGATTCTGTTGGTTCTGGTTCTGGTACTGTGGCGGCGGCTTGTTGTACATGTTCGCATTCGAGTGGTGGGTCTGGTAGCCCTGGTAGTTACTGCCGTATGGCGCCAGACCGCCGCCGCCGCCTCCGAGGATGCCCATGCTAGAGCTGGGCATGCCGACGCCGGCACCACCGCCCCCGGGCGGCCCACCAGTGCCGGCCGGTCCAGAATAAAACGGCAGCTGGCCAAATACGAACGCTGGATTGTAGGGGTTCACCGGCTGCAGGCCATGCATGGGGTAGCCCGGGTTGAGCACGCTACCTGGATGGTTGGGTTGGGGAAACTGTTGAAATGATGGCGCTTGCGTTGGCGAATTGTATGGAAATATGGGCATATTGGGTATGATGGGCATATGATGCTTAGCCCCGAACACGTAGTGCTGATCGATGCCAGTGGCTGAGGCGCCGGCGGCCCCGTTTGAGCCCTCGGCATTCGCAGCGTTCTGGCTGATTGCTTGGCCGCCGTTTTGGGCGCCGCCCTGGCCGCCATTCTGATGGCTGCCCGATAGTTGCTGGTTGCCATTCGCGTGCCCTCCGTTCTGGTTGTTATTGTTGTTATTGTGATTGCTGTGACTGAAGTAGGTGTAGGTGTTAAGAGTGGGATTCGATGAAGCCGGCGCGAATATTTTATTCTCGGGCCCCGTATTCAGGCTGGATCCTGTTAGTAAGCCATTGATGATTGCCATTGCCACGAAGTGAGCGAGCAGTGTGAGAGAATGAAAGAGATATACAAATGTAAGACACTTGGTTAATCAGCGATGACCGATCAGCCAACTGCAGCCGTGGCGGCAGCTGCTGCATGCGAGCGAGCGAGCCAACGCTAATTCACTCTCTCATCGCCAATCCCAGCAGCTGGGGACAGTGCGTGAGAGAGCGCGAGCGTTAGCCAGCAAGCGAGTAAGCAAGCTGATTGGCGCGACGCTTAGTTATGCATGTGTATGTATTTCTAGTGCTGTGCACCAGTCAAAAGCTCAGTGCTATAAAATGAGACAATGAATGCGGGCGAAAGTGCAAGTGTAATGAAATGAAAGACCAAATACACGTTTACAGTTTTAGTTTTTCTTGGGTGTGAGTGTGCGAGTTAGACAAAGATAGCGCTTAGCATTGGTGTTTGCGTGAGTGTATTGTGTGGTTAGTAAAGCTCTAGCTTATTTGTGTATGTGTGTAGGTATTTAAATACGAAATCAGAGAAAATTATGCAAATGATAATCAACAATTATCTGCAGTCATCTATAATGCATGTACATATATATTTTTGTACGCTTCTGTAACTGTCCGATAAGTCCGTCCGTCTCGTGTGCGGCGTTTGATCCGCCCTCAATTTGGTAAAGCTCGCCAAGTACCCAGCCGCACAGAAAACAAAAATAATGAAACACAAGATAGAAATAAAAAGCAAAATAAATACCTGACGGATTAACCGACGACGACGAGGAGGAGGGGTTGGCCTGGTTGGTACTGGAGCCGCTCTTGCGCTTGCAGGTCGGATAGCTGCCGCAGTCCTTGCCATCGCGCTGATTGTAGCTGCACGAGTCGCTAGTGATGACGCACTCCTCAGTGGGCAGACACCCAATGTCGGCACAGCCGCGTCCATACTCTTCACATGCGCAAGTTAACGAAAGCGAAACCGCAGACATAAACATGGACAGAGGCGGAGGCGGAGGCGGGGGCGGATTCGGAGACGGAGTCGGAGTCGGAGTCAGATCCGGTATCAAAGTTGGGGTCGGGGTCAAATTGGTGTTGGTATTGGGGGAAAAGTGTTGTAGTGTGTTTCGGGTTTCGAGTTGGAGGATATTCAAAATAATACAAATTATAAAATAAGACGTGGATGCGTCAGTTACGTATTTAGTTGTTTAACAATGTTGATCGTGATGACAGTGGAGATGATGATGACGATGACGATGGCGATGATGCATGATAAATTTGTACAATACGCATTTATACGGGAAAGAGGAAAAACAGAGAAGGAGACAGAAAGATAGACACGAAGAGAGAGAGAGAGAGAGAGAGAGAGGCAGAGAGAGGAAGGGAGAAAGACACAGTTAGAGTCGTAAAGAGAGGGAGACCGAGATTAAGCCAGCAGCTGAGCTACTGGCCAAGCTCAAGTCTCCGGAAAGGAGCAGGTGAAAGAGTAGCGGGAAAAGTGGTATAAGGTGTAACAGTGACACGACGAACACGCGGACAACAAAATACAAACATACACAGATCTATATTACGTATACGTACTGGAGTAGGCGTCCACATGGCTCAGCTGGAGCATCGCTGCCACCAGCAGCATCAGGGTAAGGCGTGCCACGCCCATCTTCGATATAGCTGTATGCGATTGTCGAACCTCCCTTAGACGCCTGGATGTGTTTCAATTGCTCTGCTGTGTCGCTGTTGCTGCAAATAGACAAGGAGAATGTTGGACTGTTAGCTAGTTGCTGGGACAATTTAAAAACAACGTCTCATTGAATTGAAACAAGGCAAAGAGGGCAGCGGGGCTGTGAGTGTGGGCGGCAGTGGAACCTATTGGCAAGCCAAGTTTATTAATCACATTGACAGCTGGGCTCAAGTTCATTGCGGTTATTTGCGTCGCAACGCAGAAGCAGAGCCAAACGCCGGGCTGCTTGCCAGAGGAGGCTGACGCACACACCAGATGGCAACTGGCAGATGGCAGACAGAAGCCGACAGACGGCAGACGGCAGACGGCAGACTTGAGACGAGGGACGGGGGACAGGAGAAGTAGACGTGCAGACCCAGTGGCGACGCATTCGTTTGGCGCAGTTCATCCCACACTGCTCTCCTTCACTTAGCATTACTCGACTTGCCGCATACAGGCGACACGCCCACATACGCCCATCGCCCACCCTGATTCCGGTGGATATGGCAACTGCGCCAACAGCCACATTTGTTATTTCAAGTGTCAAAACTGGCGAAAGACAACCTCCCAGCGCCCTCCAGTAGCCTCAACAGGGCACCACGCCCATCTTGCCACAAATAATCAGTGATTGAACAAATAATGTAAGACAAATGGCAAAATGATGCAAATGATAAATACACTTGACTCTGTTGAGGCCTACAACAGCTCTGGAAGTTGCACCTCAGCTCAATACTTGAGCTAACACATAAATGGCACTATGGCATATCCTAGCCAGAACGATCATTTGTATTAGATGTATTGGAGTATTCGATAGCCTGCAATTATATAATACTCGATAGTCTGCGCGTTATCTGCCGTCAAGTCATCCCCCAGTTGCAGCGGCTGACGAGCGGCTGATAAAAGTGCAATCCGAGCCTAGACCATAGCTTAAGCAATCCAAAGAGGGAGACGTGACTAAACGCGTTGCACTTGTATTAAGATTCTCATGTTATGTATGTAAGGCTAGTATTTTATGGGAATAGAGAGCTCAGTTCAAATATTAAATTCGGCAAATGTGGAGTTGTTCTTATTTATTCTCTGACACTGCGTGTTACTTAATAGACGTACATAGCTTCAAAACAAGGTCTCTTGATTCCTATCCATTGCATATGATTACAGCTCTTCAGCGAACTATACGAAAAGAACTCTACTACTCTATGAGTCAGAATGGGAATTCATTAAGATTGTGGCGCCAACTCAAACTGCAACTCAAACAGAAGAAATGTTCATCTGCTGCAAATGAATTGTGGGGCATACTTTTGAGAGTTTCCTTCTCGATTTTCGACCATTTTATTTATTTTTTGGTATTTATTTTGCATGTTTCGGCATAAAGCGCAGAGGTGTAGAGCGCAGAGGGGAAACTTCGCAGCAAATGAATATGAAAATGAAAAGAGCATTGTTGGCCAAACGCAAACGCAAACGCATAAATTGGGCGTCTGTCGATGATTTGTGGAGCGCTTCATTTGTCCCATAGCATGCTGCAATCGCACCCTGAGCCAGCAGAGCCCGAGCCATGGCCAGAGCCTTGACAGGCGGCAAAGAGTGGAGTTGCAGCTGGAATACGGAGGCATTGGACAGGCCAAAAGGAAGAATGCAAGTGGAACTGACACTGAAATGTGTTTTGTGTGTGTTTCGGTTTTTCGTTTTTCGTTTTTCTTTATTCTCTATTTTTATTTTTGTTGGCCTGTGGCAAGAGCAGCGCACACACATCATTTGAGCTGCTTCTGATCATGTTTTTGCCCCTGCCTCCGGACTCTGCTGCTCCGCCGCTCCCACTCGACGCGCAGTTGTCCATCCGCTTTCGTCTGTGCTGGGCCATGTCCTGGACGGACGGCACGACGGAAGCCAAAAGTGGAAATGCATGATAAATGACACAAGCTTTTGCTCACTTTTTGCCCCAAACTTTAGCGCTTTTTCTCGCTTCGCAGAGCTGTGGGAGTGAACGCAAGCGCCACAGCGGCAGCACCAGCCAAAGGAACAAATTTTTATTTTAAAATACAACACAAAACTGGACGAAAATTGTGAAACGATGACGTCGTAAATGTTTTGTTGCAACACACTGTGTGTGTGTGTGTGTGTGTGAGTGTGTGTGTGCAGTCAAAGAATCACACAAGTATAAAAAGAAGCAAAGTAAACTGTCCGCGAAACGGAAACTTCAGCTAAAACAACTGCAAGGGGCAACCAGAAAACAGAACGAAACACAACATAAAAAGAAAAGCACACAGAGCGGGAGAGAGATAGAGATAGGCGCAGTTGTGCAAGCCGGCCAGCAGGAAACCTGTAATGAGCTACCACAATGAAAATGGGAGACGGAGATATTTCGAGAGGGGAGAGAGAATACGATTAGATCAGATAAGATGATCAGATAAAATGCTGAATACAGCAAAATCAACAAAACTGAATCGCTCAATACAATCTGAATCTCTACCCTGAATCTCTACCCCATTGGTTTAGTTGAAGGCCAAGTTTTAGTGGCTTTATGGAGCAACAGATGAAACTGCCTTCAACAATAATTCAGCTGCTAAGCTGCGATTTCACTGAAATCACCTCTAATCGATTTAAATAGCTCAAAAGATTAGGTAATCGAGCGACAGATTAATTTCGAATGAAATGCTTATCTGAGTTCTCATATTATGTGAGGAGTTTATTAGCATTTGCAGAGCGAGATAGTTAAATCTTATCTTATTCATTCATATCCCATGCGTGTCGATTAGGCATTAACTCATTGATTTAATCCACGACTCTTGGGGATATTAGACATATAAATAGAAATTTATTGAAAATATCGTCTATAGCAATGTGATATGTATGGATATGTAACGAGATAGGAGAATTTACCATGTGTATGTGATAGTTACAACATCTACGGGTTTCCCTAGGCTTTCAATTGAAGTATAGCTTCAGCGCTATGGGTACGAAAAAGTTTGTACCCAACAAAGTAAGGCTAGAAACGATTAGTTGGGAATATGTCAGCTACTTGACTTGTACTTGAATATCCTGGGCGCTCTCAATGTCAATTGCCGGAAAGGGGCTGCTCATGTCAGCGCTTTCTTCCTCTCAAACTCATCTACTTGAAGTAGTACGAAATGTATCACCAACAATTACATAAACTATAAAAGTGCCACAGGCCTCATCGAAACGAGGTAGGGTGCACAAAAAACCCGCTCTGCCGCGCGCTGTTTCGCGAGGCATAAACCAAAAATTCACACTTGGTTACTTTCTTCATGACTTTGGATATTATTGTGGTTTATGTTAGTGCCTGTCACTCGCCCGCTGCCTCCCCGCTGCCCATCGCAGTCGCACACTGCCCCAAGCTTCGCTCGCTCCCCAAAGCAGGCACGCCCTGACGCTCACAGCGACAGCCGCATGTTGTCTGCCGCTGTGTGATGTATGACTCCATGAAATGCGATATATTCATGTTGAATTATTTTTGCAAAAGCGAAAAATGCCCAAGCCGAAGCGACACGAAACGCAACGCAACGCAACGCAGCGCAACGCAATCGAAACGCGAACTGAGATGACAACGAGAACAGGAATCTGAATCTGGGCGGAGAGCCGCTGGGCGAGGTGAAAAGTTTGAGCTTAAAGTCGACTGCTTAAAGCGCAAATGTTGCAGTGCAGCAAGTGGCGCCCCAATGTGGCAGTGGTTGCTCTTGTTGCAATTGAGCGAACAATTAAAAGTTTTAAATATTGTGACAGCATTTTTACAGTTAATTGCACAGCGAAGAGCGAAGCCCCAAAACTCTCGCCGCGCCTGTTGCACGCAGCTGCCAGCTTCATTTATAACTTGCCACATGCCACCTACCCTGCCCTACCCAACCCTATCCAACCATTGTCTTCACCTCACAGCCTCTCCTGCTCAGTCGCTTTCCCGCCATCCCTCCCCCTGTCCACTCCATGTAGGTGGGCAACAAAATAAAGTTTGGCTTTAGTTTTTCCTGACGTAGCACGATTTAATTTTCTAGTTATTTTTCAGCATTTCCCCCACCGACACGACGCGGGGCTGCGCCTCCAATAGCCGAATGGCAACTGGCGCAGCTGCAATGCCGCTGGCGCCTGCTCACGAACTGACAACCATTTGTCATTACCGACAGGCTGGCTGGGGGCTGGCGCTTTTTTTGCAGTGTATTGGCAGGCGGCACATGTTTAAAGCGTTTAACAAAAAGTTTAATTAGCAAATGTCGCCAGGCGGGTTCGAGCTGGGGTTGGCGAGGCGGGGGCAGCTGTTGGAGCTGTTGGTGGGGCTGTTGGTGCCCCGAATATGACCCTGCAATTCAGACATATTAAATTCCAGGCTGCAAACAAGGGAATTTCAATTCGTGGCAAGCGCCTCGGGCACACAATTTAGATGACTACCAAAAGGCGAAAAAACGAAGCAAATGCAAAAGCAAAAAAAGCAAATTCCGAAAAGCAAATCTTTGTAAGGCAGTTAATTAAAAACTTGAATGTTCAGGGAGCGGATGTGCGCCAGGGTGAGGCTACAGAATATCACTGTGTGTGCCTATATGTGTGTGATTGTGACCATGTGCGACAAAAGACTGCCCCAAAGCCCAAAGCTAACCAAATAGCTAGCAGAAGAGCAGCCATAATTGAAACTTCAGTTAGTTGGCACACTAATTGAAATGAACCAAACAAGACTCCCAGTAAGTACATTGTGCAAAGGAATGCCCATTACCTATTGACGAGGATAAAACACTTCTATAACACTCAAATCCAATTGATCAATCAAATTGATATAAATGAACAATGAGAGTGAGAGAGAGAGGAGGCACGCTATACACATACATATTACTAATATAATAATACTTTTATAATACAAATTGCAAATAAAAGTTATTTTTAATAATTAAAAATATATTGTAGGAGGCCTTTATTTCTTCACTTTATTTGTACATCGACTTCATTTAGGGATTATTTGCATATAAAAAAGAGCTTCACAACTATTTTACTATTAATAGCAAATTGATAGCTAAAAAGAAAA